AGTCCCAATCTCTCCACAACCTCGCCAGCATTTGTTATTTTCTGTCTTGTTGAACTTTGCTACTAGTGCTGGAGCAAGATGGTATCTCATTGGTGTTTTGATTTGCATCACCTTGAGGTTTTTTTAAGAGCAGTGTTGAGTCATGTTAAATTTATTCTCACCTGATTCCTCTTTAGATCAGTGACTAGAATAGGAGGCTATGCACGATTACTTCATTGTTTGATGTTAACTTCACGTAGATATCTTTATATGATGGTGATCACATAGGATGGACTCATTAGTATTCCTCTCTAAACTGAAGTAAGAGGGCTTTCTGCTGCAAGGTAACTTTAGGCAAAAGCAACCAAACCATTCCCATATTCCATAAACTTTGATTTTATGTTTTATAGTTGATGTTGCTCAGTCCATATAAAATGCTCATAACTAGTAATTTCATGGTACTGACATTGGAATTTTATCAATAAAATTGAATTGAAAACAGTAGTTGTATATTTTTAGTTACTTTTAAACTAAATCATGATGTATTTCTTAATTAAATGCATTTCAGGTGTTCTACTTTGTAAAGGACCAGGACATACCCATTTCAGCAACTCATTATCAGTTTGCAAAAGAAATTGCCATGGCTTGTAGTGCTGCACTGTGCCCTCATCTGAAAACTCTAAAAACTAATGGGATGAATAAAATTGGACTCAGAGTTTCCATAGACACTGATATGGTGAGTCACGTTTTAGTGGTGTATTTTTTAGGTAAATATACATTAAAATAATACTGGAGGAAATGGTAATAATTGAAATTTTTTAACTTTTTATTTTGAGGTGAAAGAAGGGAACTAAATTTGGTTGCATATCAACTGTGCGCTACATACTGCATACTTCACATACATTCTCTTGTTTAATCTCCACAATAGGAGTTAGAAAACTTTTTGGTAAAGAACCAGACAGTAAATTTTTTAGATGTTATGTGCCATGTGATTTCTGTCACAGCAACTCACTTCTTGCCATTTTAGCACCAGAACAGCCACAGGTATGTCAACATGTAGATAAGTATGTAACCAAATGAGTATGGCTGGTTCCAGTGAAACTCTTATTTACAAAAACAAGTGTCAGGCCAGATTAGGCCCCCAAGGCAGTTTGCCAACTCCTGCTCCACAACAATCCTGCTTGTTTTTTAATTAATCTGACTAGATTCTATATTCACATGATTTAAAATTACATCTCCAGAGAGCATTATTCACAGAGTGCCTAAAGCATTTGACTGCTAACCAGAAGGCTGGCGGTTCAAACCCACCAGCCACTCCTCGGAAGAAAGGTTGGGCAGTTTACTTCTATAGAGATACCGCCTCACAAAGCCAAGGAGGGCTAGCTATGAGTCGGATCTGACTTGACAGCAGTGAGTTTGGTGTTTGGTTTATTCTATGTAATCAATGGCCCCTGGAGATATGGACTTAAAACTATAATTTAATATAACTAGAGTTTTGCAAGGCAGCAGCCCTGGAAAGATCTCCCTCCTACTCTTGGCTCACAACCCATTAGTCCATCTCCATCTGTCATTCCCCTTCCCAGTCAGGCAATCAATTTATTAATTCTTATGTATTCTTTGTGATTTTATGCACATAACAGTAAATAAGTATGTATGTTCTTGAACCTCATTTTACCTTGTTATTTTTTTATGTTGCTTTTTCACTTCATATCTCTTAGAGATATTTCATACTAATATGCGTTCTTCTTAACTATTACATAGTAGTCAGTTGTACAAATGTGCCATAATTTATTTAAATAGTTTCCCATGCATGTTCAGTGTGTTTTGTTTTGATCAACATTTATGTTGTCCATAATACTTTGCTTTTGTGTAAGTTTTGTGTAAGTTTGAGTGTTTTCATGGGAAATACTCCTACAAGTAATTGCCAGGTCTGAGTATGTATTCTATCCTAGCAAGTTGCCCACATATAGACGTCATGCCAGTGTGTATTTTCACCAACATTTTTGATGGAGTTCTTCTTTCCTCTTTATCAAAGCAGTATGTAAACAAACATTTGAACTTTGCCAATTTGATAGATGAAAAATGGTATACCCTCCGTATTATTTTAGTGTACATTTCTCTTGTAATAAGTGATGATGATCATCTTACCTGTAACAGCCGTTTGTTTTCCTCTTTCAGTTCATGTCTGGTAAGCATATGTATTATGTATCTGTTTTTAACACCCGATATAAGATTTACAGGACAGGCTCTGTGTTAGAATGATTAATTTAAATGTGAGCAAGTTTCATAATGCTAAAGATTTGCTTTTCTCCAACCAGGATGTATTATACTCCTAGTTCTTATGGGAAAAAGGAAGTTATGTTTTCATCTATTAAAAGTCCTCCTTTCAGATATTTGTTATTTGAAAAAGCACTGTTAATATTTCCTTTTTACACAAATATATTAAAGTGTAATTTTCACCAGCCTCAATATTAAATGCAACAACAAATTTGAATTTTTTTTCTTTTATTGGCCATTATCCAAAGCCTTGGCCCTTCAATGTGTTTATATGTTCACAGAGAGAAAACCTAAAAGTATGAACTAGGAACATTGATTTTTTATATATTTATGATTATCTGTGGGAGGAAAAATTACCATTTATGTAGTAGATGGATAAAAGAAATGTGGATGAATGAAGACCATTTATCAATAAAATATAAAATGTTTTATTAACTTTGCTTAAAACTGAATGGTATTTTAAAGATACTTTTTTTTTATTCATTTGCTAAGCTAAAGAAGATTGCTTATCTTCAAGGGTGTACTAAAATAAGCCTTTTTTTTTTTTCAGGTTGAATTTCAGGCAGGCTCTGAGGGCCATCTTCTTCCTCAGCATTATCTAAATGATCTTGATAGTGCTCTGATCCCTGTGATCCATGGTGGGACCTCCAACTCTACTGGTTTACCATTCGAAATAGAATTGGTGTTTTTCATTATAGAAAATGTTTGTTAATGGGAGGATGTGTCACATTAAATGTTACCAATTGATTTGTTGGAACTCCAGCACTAAAACTGAAGTGCTTTGCATTGACTATTTACCATAAAAGTAAATGTATCTGATATTTGAAACATGTAAGCTTTGCTTTTTAGGCAGGAATAATCTTTTAAAATCATGAGCACAACATTTAAAATGCTAAAACTTTAAAGAATTCAGTTTTTGAAGCTTTACACTTAACACAAATACTAAAAGAACAAGAACTCCTCCTGTCCGAGAAATTTGTGTCATTTACTATGTCATTAAGTGCTAAGCCAAAGTATCTGCACTTAGGTATACCTCTTTATGCCAATAATGGTTTCAGTGAAGTCTATTTTCAGATGTGATGTTGTGGAGGGAATGCCAGTTTTGTGTATGTGCCAGTTAGATTGCTGACTTCTAAAGTCTGTTAGAAATGTATGTCAGTGGCATAGGCCAGTTTTCAGATCATAGACGGGAATGATAATTCTTACATAAACCAGGTAATTTGTGTGATTGGAGTGGAGATCTACCTCCATGATTAGATAAACTCTGATTGTTTGGATTAAAATCAGAATTTTGCCTTTTTTCTTCTCAAATTACTTTATATTCACAAACACACATACACATACACTTAAGTTTTTTCTTGATTAAATGAGTATACTTAAAATAATTGTGGGTGCTTCAGGACCTTGTGCTTCTATATTTAAGTATATTGTTTTTATAGAGAAAACATGATTCAGTATGTGTTTTATAAATCTTTAATAATTTATAAATAGGTAATATTTTTCTATTACAGTGCATTATTTTCCCTACTTTCCTTCCAGATTATACCACTGTATTTATTACTTCTAAAAGTGAGTGACAGCAGGCCAGATGACCCTGGAAGTAGTCATTATGTAGCAATAAATGAAGCATGAAGCGAGCTTTCTTTTACTTCCACTTTAATCCTTAGAAATTTCTTGGTAATTCTGCATATTTTCATGGATAACGATGTATTAGGTATACATTTTAAGGAACTAATTACCTTTGCATATTTAAATTCTTTATATGGTAGTTATTTTTTATAATGAGATACTAACATAAGTTAAACTCTGTATGTAAAGAACACATGAAACTTGTGCTTGAGTTATAGAGGTCCTTCAAACCCTGTTCAAGTTTCAGAAACTGTTACAGAACTCTTCAAATGGCAAAATCAAAACAGAAGTCTTCTTGTGTTTAGAAAAAAAGTAAAGAGCATATTTTAATTAGTCCTGTCATTTAACTTATATAAAACTCTCGTTATTTTGATGCTTTTTTATTCTTCTTTAGAATATATATATATATATATGAGTATGTATATATGTATATATATGTTTTTGTATCAAAAACACTCCTTATATATCCCAATAAAAAGAAACTACAGTAAATAGCCCCATTTTAAGAAAAATATTCATGAAGCATCTCAACTTGAAGATAACGTCAAGTTTATAACTCAGGATCTGAGGTCTCAGGCTAGAAGACACTGAGAATTTTCATCAGTTGGGCATATGGATCCTACTGAGTCACATCTGCAGTACTAGCCAAACAGACACATGTGGAGGAGCAGCAGTCTTCTGGAAGTAGCTACTTCATAAACAGTGTAAATATTGCAGATACTAAGTGGCAAACTTGTGAAGTTTATTGAAATGGTATGATAAAAAGAATAAAACTCAATTTGTGTTTTCTTTGTTTCTTTTTATTTTGCAATATAAGTCATTTTATCTGTGAATACTGAATTTACCTTAAAATAATCAAATGATGGAGGGCTTTGTCCATGGTAGGATGGTTTTGGATTTGTTTTCATAAAGCCTCTACCTTCAGTAAAACTTGGAATTATCTGCCTAAAATTTACAGTCACATTTTAAAGTATTCTGTGTAGATGTACATTTCTGAACACATTTGTGACTTATTTTGTCATGTTCTTGGCATTAATACTTAATTTGAAATTTAAAACATTTTAAAGATGAGATAGGATGATTCTTTGTGCTCATCTAGAATGATTCTTTGTGCTCCTCTGTGGTGATCTAGTCTTGGTTTTCCCTTTGCATACTGTTTTCTCTAAATTTTGAAATACAAAGTAAAATCTGGCCCATTTGCTTTATGCAGCCATCATACAAACTCTTTGCATGTCTGGATACTGTGTATTTACTGTATGCACAACACTTTATTAAGACTCTTTTGGTTGAAAAATTAATAAAATAGTTCTTTCCTTGAAGCTGAATGTGTGGGACAGATAGTTATCATATGCAATGAAACCTGGGAAAGCTGGAACCTGTTTAAGACTGAAACCTGTAAAGAAAGAAAACTCAAATATTTTGTAGTTAAAAGAGTGATAGAAAAGAGGTAAGAATCCTCCCTGTCAACGGTGGAAAACTTGTGACACCCAGAAAAGTAAGGCTGCCCTTTGGAGTTCTGGCTATCACAGGTTTCTCTGTAGTGAAAGTAATTGCTGTAAAAGAGAGATGAGGTTCACTAGGTGGTTGAAAAACAACCCAAGAGGATAATCATACTAATGGTGAGAAGGCAGCCTGAACCTATTACATTGTCAGCATTAAACTTGTCAAGGAAAAAAAAGATATAGTTGGAAAATAGAAAAGTAAGTAAGATGTAAAAAGAGTGAGCTTTCTTTTTAAAGGCATTCTACTTGAAACCAGTCTTTTATGTTACCTGAATATCACAGTGTACTCTTAAAAGTAGTAGCCTAATTATGATGTCTCAACTGCCCAATTTATAGCAGCAAAACTTAGGTATTTATTTCTTAAATAAAGAATAGGTATTTGTTTCTTAAATAAAGAATAGTACTTTTCTGTTTTTAACAGCAAGCACAACTTTGATAATGTGACTCAAATTTTAAAAGAAAAGATTTTGAAATAAACCTACATTCATTCTAAGTCTAATTTTTTTTCTTTGTGTTTTTCAAAAACTGTTAAATATATATAATAGATTCTCATAGTTAAAAATCAATATGGAAAGTTTATCAGTGTAAGTTTTGCTGTATGCATTTTTCTTCTTTTCATTCTGCAAATTCATTAGGTAATTTCTTATATATTTTCCCAGTGTTTGGGTTCATTAGTAATAAACATAAATACACCTATGTCCTTCCCCCCATTAATTACCCAAAATGTTGTATGGTTATACATTGAAAAACACAGTTTCACCTCCTCAGGTTCTTTGGGTTGTATGGTTTGTATTTAGAATCTTAAAGATTGATTGCGTCTGTTAAACCACTTTAACTCAGTGATTGGTAAAAGCATCTTAATTGCAGAAAGGCAAGAAGAAAACCTGTTAATGGGATTATGTCCATATGTTTAAGTAGGAAAACTATTTTTCTATAACAAAATGTTTATTCCTAAAATAATTGCAAGGTTATTTTTATTTGAGCTATATTTTAAAACTTTATTTTGATGTACTAAACACTAAGCCTTGCCAAATAAGTTTCTCTTTTACTACTTTTTTTTTTTTTTCACTTCAGATTTTCAGTTTTTCATTTTGTTCTCTGTGTCTTCCGTTTTTGGATTTTGCTTGGAAATTTTTGAAGTTTAATATTTAATACCTTTTGGGAAACATTTTCTACGTTTGCTTTGATAACATTATAAACTTATTTGTTTTTGACAGATAAAGAAATAGATTTAGTTCATGTCCTTTATCATGAACCTCTGGATATAATAAAGGTTTTGCATTTTTGGTAAAATATGGTGAGGTGGCCAAGATGGCCCTCAACCATCTCCACATGCTGGAATTCACAGTCTTGTGTGGTCCCCTTCTACACTGTACCAATATTGGTCTTTGTGACCGATAGAATTTGGCAAAAGTGATGGGCTGTAACTTCTGAGATTAAGATATAAAAGACTGGTTTCCATCTCTGGCATAGTCTGTGTTGGATCACTCACTCTGGTAAACAACTGCCATGGTGTTAGCAGTCCTGAAGAGTTATACTTGAGAAACTGAAGCCTGCGGCCAACAGCCACATGAGTGAATCCTCCAACCCCACTAAAACCTTCAGATTTCAGCCCCATCCAACTGTTTGACTGCAAGCTCATATGAAACACCCAGGTAAGCTCATCTCAGATTCTTAACCCTCAAAAACTATGTGAAATAATATATTTTGTTAAGCTAAATATTGTAATCTGTTATACACAGCAACTATTGTTAGATAACTGTACCTGTGAGCAGCCCTAAAGTAAAGATAGCTAAAATGATTAATTGTTCTGACAGTGAAACATGTTTCTTACCAACATTTATAGGTTGCATGCCACATGTGAAATATGGCAAGAGCAGAGAACGCCAAAAGAAAAGGAAGGGTGTGGCCATGTAGAATCAAAGATGGCAGTTGTGGGAAACTTCCTGTTTCTGGTAATTGTATGCTAAGGTATTCAAACCCATGCACATGCTGAAAAGAACCAGTGCTGCTTAAAATACAAAAGTCATCTTAAAACACAAGAGTTTGTAAGACAATAACGAATGTCCACCCCAAAAGTAAACACCAGTTAAGTGAGCACAGGGCTTTATTTTGACAACCTAATGGGGGCAAAGGAGACAGAAATAAAAGATCAGGACCCACATGAGGTAGTGAATCTTAACAGGAGGACCCTCTTCTCCCCACCCCCAAAGCACTTCACCTTTAGGCTGAAAATAAACCAGGGTGGAGTCCTGGCAATCAAGGGGGAAGCTAAAGCCCTGGCTTTCTAGCCATAATACCAGGGAGGGGAAATAAGGAAACTCAAAAGTGTGAGAGTATCATAGGAGGGAACTGAAGGAAGAAAAAGTCGAGGCAATTCCAACTCATGGTGACCATATGTGTCAAAAGTAGAGCTGTGCACTATAGGCTTTTCAATGGCTTTTTTTTTTGTTTGTTTGTTTGTTTTAATAAGTAGATTGCCAAGCTTTTTCTTCCAAACTGAAGAAAGGGGTAATCTTTTAATCCATGTATTAAATGCTAGGTTCACTTATACATGTGTGAAGCTGACTAAAATCAACACAACAAAGGTTTTGAACACTAAACTACAGTGTAGACCCCATCTGCTCTTTAGACTGGCCTCTGTGTGGTGCACAACTGGGGTAGACCACAATGGCACTGCAAAGCCTTTGGAAACCAAATTAACTTTGGAAACAGCCTCAGAAAACTGGCCAGGGTGTGTGATCTGAACTTAACTAGACTGACTACCTGCTAAAACAAAACAAAACCCAACATTCTTCTGAAAATTTAAACCTTACCCAGAAACAATCCAAAATTACTCAACATACAAAGAACTAGGAAAGTCTGAACTTTCAAGGGAAAGGTTTGTGTACCTGAGGCTACACAAATGTTGGAATTACCAGAAAAGTTACAAACTTGAAGATGGATCAATGGAATCAGTGTGAAAAACAAAAAAGTGAAGGGAAAAAGTACTGTTTTGGGAACCTATAAGACAATGCTAAAAATCTTTCTGTCTTATATGAGTACCAAAAGGAGAGGCGAAAGATTTGAAGAAAAAATCTGAATAGCTGAAAACTTACTAAACTTGTTTAGACATAAATTTACATGTACATAAACTACATTTAGAGCACATCTGCTCAAGAGAAAGTTGTAGGGTCATGCTTCAATACTCAGATTCAATAATTTTCAAGATTTGCCACTTTTCATTTGCTATTTGCTGAAATATTTTAAAGTAAATCTCACGCATGATTTTATGCCACATTTCATGCCTCATTTTAGTTTGCAGCTGTAAAAAATTGGACAGTGAATATTAATTGAGTTGATTACTGTAGGATCTGAAAATACTGAACTAATTCTTTGATCAATAGGCTATAAAAACTTTTGAACTGCAACTGATACCATCAAGAAAGTCAAAAGACCACAGAATGGGAGAGAACAATTACATAATGGTCAACGTACTTATAATCGGACTATATCTAAAAACTCTTATCTCAACAATAAAAATACAAATAATGCAATTAAGAATGAGTAAAGGATTTGAATAAACCTACCTGCAAAGATGTACAAATGGCCAATGAACACACTAAAAGATGCTCAATATCATTAGTTATTAGGGAAATGTATTTGCATTTCAAGCAATGAGACCATGTATACCCACTAGGATAGCTAAAGTAAAAAATAGTAAGTGTTGGTGAGGATGTAGAGAAATTGGACTCCTCATACAGTGCTGATGGGAATATAAAATGGTACAACTGCTTTGGGAAACTTGGTAGTTCTTCAAAAACTTATACTATAGCAGCACTATTATAGTAGCTAAAAGGTGGAACAATTGAATCCCCATCAACTGATGAATGGATAAAATACGGCAGATACATGGGGAAAAAAGCCACTGCTGTGGAGTCATTGCAACTCAACTCAAAGTTACCCTGTAGGACAGGGTACAACTGCCCCATTGGGTTTCCAAGGCTGTAATTCTTTAGAGAAGCAGACTGATTGATCTTTCTCCCACAGAGGTTGGTGGTTTCTAACTGCCAGAAACAGCAGAATATAATTTGACCATAAAAACAAATGAAGTAATAATAAATGCTACAATACGGATGTCAACAACAACAACAATACGGATAAACCTTGAAAACTTCATGCTAAGTGAAGGAAGCCACTTAGAAAAACATATTGTATGATTCCATTTGTATGTAATGTCCAGAATGATGATGTTGTTACGTGCCCTTAAGTAGGACCCAACTCATAGCGACCCCTCTGGGTTTCCAATGCAGTATCACTACGGAAGTAGATTGCCCCATCTTCCTTCTGAGGAGTGGCTGGTGGGTTTGAACCGCCAGCCTTCTGGTTAGCGGTCAAGTGCCTTAGGCACTATGCTACCAGAGCTCCTAATGTCCAGAATAGCCAACTCCATAGACAGAAAGATGAATGGTTGCCTAGGACTGAAGGGGGAGTTCTGGTGACATAGTGGCTAGGGCATTTGACTGCTAACCAGAAGGCTGGTGGTTCAAACCCATCAGCCACTCCTTGGAAGGAAGAGTGGGCAATCTACTTCCATAGAGATACCACCTCCAAAAACCAAGGAGGGGTTGCTATGAGTCAGAACTGACTGGACGGCAGTGAGTTTGGTTTTTTGAAGACTGAAGGGGTTGTGGTGGGGGTGTTGACAAGTGACGTGCAGTTTCTTTTTAGGGTTATGAAAATGTTCTAAAGTTAATTGTAGTTGATGGCTGCAATAGTATGATTACATTAAAACCCACTGAATCGTACACTTTAAATGAGCGACAAGGCTATGGAACAAGAAAGGCCAATGGAGTCCTTAAATTTTAGCATCTTATCAAATGTAAGAAATCTTTTTGATTGACCTAGAGAATAAGCAGAAAATATGGAGGTATGATGATGACAGCTTAAAATACACAGCTCAGATCTGGAAAGATTTAAGTATATATAATAAAATGTGGGAGCTCTGGTAGCATAGTGGCTAAGACACTTGCCTGCTAACCAGACGACTGGCGGTTCAAACCCACCAGCCACTCCTCGGAAGGAAGGT